ATAGTATGGAATCGTAGAAGAAAAATAAACGATCATTTATTCTCGACTTAGTCGTTGTTATTTTCGAGATAAATTCATGCATGTACTAGATCTGTATGATCGAATCGCAAAACGGATCGTAGTTTGACTTACATGTGTACGTATATAAAGAGACTCTACTGCTCAAACAACGAGTGGTGATCGTTGATTTAACCGACTTAGGAGTGCGTACATTCACCGGCTACGATAACGTCTCCATGGAATATAATCGATGACTAACGATAATAAAAAAAGAAGAAATAGAAATTAAAAGAAACTAAAATCAAATAAAATATACTAAAAAAGGACTTTGAACTCCATTTGTAAAAAGATACATATCTAAAGCGATCTATCTATATCTTTCCTTTTTTATTCGCTTAATAACCATGCCTATCTACCAGTCAACTAACGATCGAAATTAATTAAGAACAAGTTAAACAAGCCTATCTGCCATCGTAACGCAAACTAGTCATGCACTTGTGATAAGATTTAAAAGAATGTCTTCTTTCTCTGCTTTCTAGTCAATATTTTCTTTTCTCTCTCATTCTTTTATCATTCGTTTCTCCATGTCGCATTTACTGTTACACATACGAATGTAAATACATTAACTTCTGAACATAAATTCACACATTAGGAATGACAAAAGCGCTTTTGATAATTCTAATTTTTTCTACGTAAGTAAATAACTTTAACGTTTCTTATCGAGTTTCGCGGTATTATTTAGGACGTCGAATGATGATCTAAACAATTAAGTTAATTAATACCTATACCTAATATCCTTGATTGTTCATTTTTTGACGACTACATTCTTATTGGCTCTGAGGTTGTTCATTTTAAGTAGAAATAAAAAATTGATGACAGAACCAGTATTTCTAGTATCATAAATATTTTAAACGAAGTTTACAGATAATCGTGTGCTGGGGATTTTCACGACAATGTAAACTGATCGGTAAACCAAGTTTCAAAGCAATAAATAATTTTTAACGCAGTATGTTACGTAGAAGCATGTTATTTCAAATGTATTACAAAAGACTCTTCCGTTGACGTGTTTGTAAAAATATTTCTACAAACCGACCTAAAGCAAAATACCGAAGACACTGTCATTGATATCTTGCTCTATCGTTAACCTCACGGTACACTCCTATAAGGCCATTTTTATAAATTCAGTTCAGTGATCCAACGATAAAATAAAGAATTTTTATTCTCAACCCATATCCTAAAAGAACATATATCTACGCAATATTTTTTATCTCTTATTTGTCATCTTCACATATTCGATATAAGATTTACATCATTTTTTTATTCCAGCGAGCTAAGAAAATATTATTATTATTATTATTATTGTTATTATTATTATTATTATCATTATTATTACCACACACAAGATTTGCATACTAAAAAATTTCTACCATACATCGAACGAAGACAAAATTAATTACAAAATCTTGATACAAGTTATTGTTATTTAAATTGTTTACATTTTAATGAAATTATTTTCATTCAAAAATGAATGATGAAATATAATATTACAAAATAATGTATGTAAAATACCAAATGATTCCTTTAAACAATTGAACTGTAATATCATAAATCCTAATTACGTCATAGGATCGTATAAAAAAAAAATAAAGTTAAAAAAATATCGATATCTAGTTGGATAAGGTTCCTCCGTTGAAAAGATAAGAAGACAAGAGTAAAAGACAGAGCATAGAGAACGTTCCAAGTCATAATCGATTGCTCCTAATTCCGGCCAATTACTGTCCCATCACTGTCAACACCGGTTCTCTTATTGTCAGACGCTTTTTCTATGTTGGCAAACCGTACACAAAGTTCATTCTCTTNATATATATATATATATATATATATATATATATATATATATATATATATATATTAACATTAATATGCTAATTTATTAATTTGTGAATTAAAATATATTTCTCGCTGGAAAATGAATTTTTCAAATAATCTCGTCAATAAATGAAATTGTAATATTTTAAATATGTATTATACGATTTAACGCTAACATATATATATATGTATGTTATATAGTAGTGAAAGACGACGAGAACAGGCCATATGTCCAGCTCGATTCTTAAGCACTCAAGGTCGCAGTTTCCTCCTTCTCCTCCTCCTCCTCCTCCTCCTCCTCCTTCTGCTTCTCTTTCTCCTCTCAGCTTGTTCATCTCATCTTCGTCCACTTAAGAATTTCGTTTAGAAAGATTTTTAGCGAACAAAACCGAGGCACGCGCTCGGATTTAGTATAACTCCAATACGATTGGTTTAAATTCCCTAAGGGAAAATGCACACACTACTTACACGACTAACAAGGGCATGACAATCATGTGCAACCGCTGACTTTTGTTAAACTTTGTCCACTTGTAGTCGTTCATGAGGAATATGGGGATAAATATCAGTTCAATTTGATATTTAAATAAGATCCTTGATCGAAATTAATGAACGTTCGAAGAAGGACCTGTCCTCCGACCAATAATTTTGACAAGCAAATTTTTCTTTTTTGATAAAAACAAGCTTAGCATTGACGTCATAGAGAATCAAACGAATCATCGAGCGTAAAACTTTTAACGCGTACGTTTTATTCAACGTTTAACGAGCGCTAAAGTCGATTAAATGAGTACATTCAGTAATGATTCGTGGCAATACGAAATGACCTTAAAATAGTCTGATATCTATCACTTTTATCTGGGTTACGTATCTGGAAATGAAATTAAAGCGATAAAAAAAATGTGCGAAACTTGCGAATTAATTTTGATTTCTTTTTTTCTTTCATGTCTCTAAATAAAACATTAAATGTTATGCGTATATCGTAATCGATTGTTATGTCACGAAATTATATTATTTCGACATTCGTATTTCGTAACAAATTGAATCTTTAAGAATAGCAGGTATGCAAATAAAATAAAGAATATACAAAAATTATTTTTAGTAATGGACGTCATTGGAAAAATGGATGAATAGTAAATATATTAGTTTACGGCTAAGTTAGTTGAAGGAATCATACGAGAAATAACCATTGACGTAGGTGAGAATCATGTAAAGATATTCATGAATGAAATTTCCGAAGGAGTAACAGAGCTACGTCATACGGGACGTGAAACGCTAAATTTCTTTCTCGTAACACAACACGTTACTTCTGCATATGTAAGAGACTCCGAATCGATCAAGGTAGATATGGAAATAACCATGCGGAGTCATCCGATCGGCTTAGTAATCATCTTTACTTCAAATACCTATACTGAGATCAGCATTATTTTTTTTTTTACAAAGTAATGAGAAGATTGTAAAATCGATTTTCGTAATCAACTCGAAACTTTTAACTTGGCCTGCTCGCTTTAAAAAAAAAAAAAAAAAATAATAACATATAAAATACATTAAAAACAATACGAGATAAGATTTATCAAAAAATACGATTTCTAATCTTTAACGTTGAACGATTAACTGTAAATATCTGTTTGCAAGTATGATAAAGAAAATTTGAAATAACATAAAATAATAAAAAAGAAACTTAATCTAAAGCATAGACGTTTGCATACTACACTTATAGACTATGATCTAGGTATAAGATTTCATTGGAACGATTAAACGAGACAGTCCGTCGTCGGTCAAAAGAACGGAGAAGCCAGATAGACCGCAGACTTCGTCAGAGTTTCGCTGGAAGTACCTTTACGCAGCTGTCGATATATCGAGAATGCAAAGACGGTAAAACGATATGAAGGTGATACGATCGATAAATCTTTCGAGTGATCCTAGACAAGTTAGTATAGGAAAAAATAATGAGACTTTCATTTTAGTCTATGAAAGGATTAAAAAAAAAAAGGATAGAGAGATAAAATTGAATGCATTAATAAATGAAAGAAGGAACGATTAGAAGATTCTCGGATCGCGACAATGAACGCGTTGTAAATCGTATCTCTCTTCAAGTTATATCTACAGTTAGACAATAGAATGGAGCCATTCTCCTTGACTTGAAAAAATGAGAAAAAGTACGAATCTCTCGAGATAAGTCTCCCTTCGGATCCAAAGTGTAGAAACTAAGAAGAGTGCTTCGTAACAAAGCGATCACCACCCGCCGTTTCTGACCCTGACTACTACCACGTCGACTAGTGCTATTTCATTTCCAGCATTTCATTCTAATTTTAGTCAAACCTTCTCCTCCCTTCTTCTCCCTTCTTCTCCCTTCTTCTCCCTTCTCCTCCCTACTCCTCCCTTCTCTTCCCTTCTTCTCCCGATTTCTATCTTTTTCTCTCTTGTACTTCTCTTTCGTTAGACCGAAACCGGAAAATTCGTGACTACGCGGAACCGAAATGAATTTCAAAGGCGTTCCTAGTACATTAGCAAACGGTAGGTAAATATACATTATCATGAGTCTTTGAATCAACTGGTAATAGGTACATAGTATATAATGTAACTTTAAATTAACGAGTCTCCCATTTAGAAATAATCGACAAATTTGATTGCGATTAATACCCATTTTGGTCATTTTCTAGGTTTTTACATAGCGAGACCAATAGAAATTTTGTGCATTGAATTCTTCGACTATAACTCTAAAGTACAACCGTCTGAGGAATTATATTTTTAACCTTTACTCAGTCCGCCCCTAATGACCAAGGTTACGTGCCTCTACAGTTTCGACGACAGAAAAGAACATTTAAAAAGACACGAACTGAGTTACAAAAGAGTTAAAAGAAGAATAAGATAATGAAGCAGTAATGTACATTTCATCACTTAAATACCCGATTGTACAAAGTCTAACAATTTCCAGACAACTCATTCCGAATGACATCTATGCTAACAAACAAAAATATCACGATATCTTTTATTTACAACAGCACTGATAATGACTATTTTATTGCATATATACTTTTATTTAATTGGTTTCAATTTATCAATAAGTTGCAACAGAAAATATTCTTAATGATCCTTCCAACAAACGACACTTGTTGAATGAAAATTAAACTCACCTCAGGAATGAAAATTCAACGAATAGATCCGTACTCCGGCTCAAGAATTCACTTTATCCCGAAATTCCTTTCCACAATAGAATAAAATGAAAGAAAACACAATTGAAATAATTCAAAGGAAAACCCGGAGGAAGAATAAGAAGAAAAATGAGAAAAATGAAGGTAGGTAGGCAGCAGGTAAGCAGGTAGGTGGTAGGTTCACGTTGTCCTAAGGAGCGATCGAGTCCGAAGGTTCGCGCGAGACTGGCTGGAGCCGCGTTCTCTTCGATCAGATCGAAGCCACCGAAACAGAGAGAGAGATACACGTTCTATTGCAGCCTGAGGCCAACTTAGGACTGTGGACTCTGACAGCACACCGCGAGTCCTCCTTCTCCTCTTCTTCTTCTTCTTCTTCTTTTCAACTATTCACTCGGTAATTCCCTCTCTTTCGCTCCCACTTACCCATTCTACCTACCTCCATCTCCCCACCATATCTGCCACACCGTGGTATACCAAGCTTGGTAGCACCAAGAGATCGGGATAGGTGCTCCGAGATTGTTTCTACCGAACCAGAGAAACCATTCGCAATTTAGACACGCTCTTGGTTCTTCTTGTTCCCCTCGTTATCGATCACTTTGATTTTGATGATGCTTTTTCTTTCCCTTACACGATTTTCCAATTCGTTCTACTACTTATCATATTGACGCTTATTTTCTTCTAATAATGTTCCTTATAGATCGATTTATCAAATATTCTTAACGACGTATTATTAATGAAATTATAATCCTTGATTGTTAACCGATAATCGTAAACCGTTAATCATTGCATCCTAATTGAAATATAATTTATTTAGACAGCAATGTCATATGCAATCCTTTCAATGATTTATTCCTATAATGTTTTCGAGATAATTTATAATAACGTTAGAAATAGTCGAAGTCGAGTTGAAAAGATCAACGACACATCACAATCCATAGACACGACTCGTTTCATTCTTTCTTCGTTAGTAGATTTTCTATCTTGCGCGATCGTTAGACTTCAACTTAAACGAGGAGGACACGAGAACAACTCTCTACCGGATCTACGCATTCTCCGTTACTATAATAATAACGGCTCGAATCCTTCCAACTGAAGGAGTCCTTCGTCGTTTGGTAAGCCTAGATTTTTAACATTTTTCATACAAAGCTTACAGGAAATGAACGTCATTCTCTTCGAACAATAGAAAGTAATATAGGAATAATGAGCGTATTTTTTTTTATAGGTGTGATATAACATCGAATATTTAGGTTAATTACACTTTAAACGACATTCTATTTTTTATCTTTTATAACTGTACGTTGATTTGTCGACTTAATGAAATATATGTAGGTATATACATATGTGCATGTGACTTTTAATCAATGTATTATTATATATGGTATAATAATTTCTATCGTACGTTATCGTTTTAAGTAACAATGTAAATAAGTTTATTGTATGTAGACAAGTTGTGATTAAGGAACTTAAATAATTTATCGATTTTTATTATTCGAATCCTCATTCGTTTCACGATTTCTTTCGATTCGAAAGGAAACGATCTAACTGTACATCTATGTACGCATGCCCTATAAGAATTCTATACATAGCATATATTGATTTATTAATCAGGAAACATATAACTAAACTTCCGATTAATCGAGGAACCGCTGCTATCCGTCTAACGTAACATAGAAGAGTCTACGATTTTACTAAAGTTCAAGTCGTCTTACCTTATTGGGATTTCCTCTTTACCTTTTCTTTCCTATTATGCGTTCCTGTTACGAATGTAAAATGCATAGTTACAGGTGTGTCGTGCACGAGCGTCCTGTCTACAAACGAATGCTATTCATTGTTTCGACGAAGAATAAGACTGACGTGTCCTACTAACAATAAGTCATTTGAAATATATCAACTTGCAATCGTCTAACTTGTCTAGACCTTCTTACGTATGTAGATCATTATGTGAGCAAAATTACAATTTTTTCTCTAATACATTTATATATATAATAACTGGTTAAAACAAGTTTATTGAAGTAAGTTATTAGAATATTACTCTATATTATTCTATTTAAAAGCATAACATACATACAGAACGAGATAAAAATCACTTTTCCCAAAATAACTCTAAGAAAATGATTTAATTTTATATTTGTTGAAATTCCGTTGACTTGATTTATAACTGTTCTATTAATCGTTTCAACTGATTCAAAAAACTTGTGATTTCTCTAGATAAAGCGACTTTTATCTCAGCCCGTATTCGCTTGAAATATTTCATCGTTTCTTACGAAAGCATAACATTTAATATAAAGCGTTGAAACAGAGATTAGTAAAATCGTGTATACATCTTTAAACATGAAAATCTTGCAAATGTTTTCTGGTTATCTTTTAATCCGGCCTTGATATACCGATGCGATACTACGTAATATCACGAATGTACTTTGCTCGGCACTTTTCTTACTTCAGTTACGACGAATTTATACGTACGGAAGTGCAGTTTTTTCCTAGTGTATACGAGTTCTCTTCTCTCTATATTTATGTATTTTCGATTATATTTTGTTCGATCGACGTTGCACTTTACTATTCCAGGAGTCTCTCCGAGAGAAATTAAGTATCGTCTAACAGAAAACTCGTATGCACTTACCTATGGTAACTAGGTAGACATTTTTCAAACGTCATTTTATAAATTAAAATCATCACCAAAATATTTCATCTAAACAAAGTTTTTATATTTTCAAAGTTATTATCAAGTCACTCTTCGATGAAATAGCGATATTCGATAGAATCAATTTGAATTTTACCACCCAACGTGTTTGACTAGAACAAAGATGAATCCAACGTATGACATGGTAAATGGTTGTAATTGCAAAACGCTTGAGGTACGCAGCCATTAACGCTAAAGTCATTCTTATCGGCTTATAACTTATTCCTCTATCCCTCTCACAATATATCTTCTCGCACACCAGCAGTTTATTAAAAAACATACAGAAAAGAAATACAGTGAGAGAGAGAGAGAGAGAGAGAGAGAGAGAGAGAGAGAGAGAGAAATAAATATTTAGAAATCTTTATAGGATGTATCGAAATTCAGTTAAAATAAAAGCAGACGTATTTGACTTATAATTATTAATTACAGAATTATTCGAATGACTTATATTCAAAACTTTGTTTTGTAACACGACGTATGACTAGTTTTCTTAGAGCGTCGAGTAGAGATCGTTCTAGTTATTTTCTTAACGTTCATTATGGTTAGACTCGATCAGCAGTGCAAGGTGACTTCCGACGTATAGTTGTCATTGTCGTTGTCGTCGTCGTTGACGTAGTTGGACCCAAGTCCACGTCGTAGATTTTCTGACCCAGAAAGAGATTCTCTCTCTATATCTATATACTATGTATATCTTCGATGTAAAAGAGTGAGAAAGATGAAGCTCAGAGACGTGGAAGGGAATACTCGCGACAAGTTTAAAGCTAATGTAAGATACGACTTCTCAAGACGCGTTTATTACTACCAAGACGATAAATGCGTCAATGATTAAAAAGACCCCTCCCCCTTCATCATCCTCGAATGGCTGTCACATATTTTTTGAATTAGATTATAACCGCAAAAATTACAAAAACATGTAGGTATAATGCATACGGTATCTTTGAAACGTCTTTTATGCAAGATAAATAATCAAGTAGCTAATTACAGAGGTACTTAAATTTTTTGTACTCGTTTCCAGGATCGTTGTGAGGTGGCCGGTTATTATGAAAGTAGCCTAATTGTAACTCACGTTTTTTTTTTATTTCTAAGTATTACGTATTACGATATATTTAATAATGCATTTGTTCAATCTTCCAAAATAACATGCAAATAAATATTTTTCTCCTTTACCGCGGATTAACTTCATGTATTGCAAATATTGTTTAGATCAAGTAGGTATATCACAAATCCCCATTTATTCGACTTCCCTAACACGTTTAAGAACATGGAGTTTCCGCGTGGAACATCCAATTTTATCGTACAAGTCATCGGAGAGCTGAACGAACTGGTTGCGAAACGGGACACCTTGTAGATGGTAGCAAAGCCGTCGACACCTGCCGTAAATAATTCCGCCATCCACTTCCTCGTGCCATCAGCTTACTCGCGTCCTCGGCTTTTCTCTTTTTCTTTCAAAGGATTTTTATCTTCGATATGCATATAATTACTAAGACTCTATTAGTCACGTCATATGCTTGACGACAAAATTGTATACAAATCAAATACGTTCTAATCGAACAAATCGAGAAAAGAAACAATTCATCGAACTCATTTGTTAATATTAATAAACCGATTGGTCAGGATTATAACGAAGAATCTAATTAAAGAAGAAGCAATCTCAGAGTCGGTTCGTTTACGAATCTCGTTTAAAATTATTTATGGTTGTAACGGTACAAACGAAAAAAGGTTAGAGCAAAGTAATTAATTAAGAGTTCAATTGAAATTTTCATTAAGATAAGTTAGACCTTCTTAAATAATTAAGTAAATGAATTTTATAAATAGTTTATATAGGTGTATATCGATTGGAAAACATTATTGAATTATCCATTGCGATAAATTCCAAAGATTTTGTTGTTAAGAAGAAAAAGAAAAAGAAAAAAAAAAAGAAAAGAATAAGAAAGAAAGAAGATGTTATGCTTTAATCCAGCGGATCGAAGATCAAAGGATTCACCGGTTCCGTGAGACTCTCACCATCGACTTCGCATTGCTATCGATTCCCGCGTTATCAAAGCGCTCTAATCGGCTACGATTCTTACAAGGCGTAACCACCTTGATTCTATAGAAAAGCATTTCTCCTAACCGTTATATGAACCGATAAGAAGAACACTTCTTTTTCTAACTGTCGACATTGTCCAAGATAACTAAAGACAGGTAAGGTAAACTGGTCGTCAAGTTGCGTAAACGTGCGCACTCAATTCGATTCTTTACAGCGTATAAAGATTACGGTTTGTAAGGTTAACACATCAAATTATTGCCTTTCGAAAAGAACAACAAAATTTAAAGTAGCTTTCATTATTTTATCTTTATAAAACAAATATATAAACTTTAAAAATCTGATCTTATTTTTAGACATCATGCAACATAGTTCATATTACAATTTATATGTAAAATAAATTTCTATGTAAAATAAAATAATAAGGATTTTGTAAGAAAGGAAGTATATAAAAAATAATTTTAAGCGAATAGAATACGCACGCCGCAACGAGACGAGCATCTTAATCGGGTATCTTGATGGAAGAGAAGAAGGTCCAGGAGAAGAGAAATCACTTAGGTAAGAGAGCAACAGAGTAACTCTATAACATAAACGTGCCAGTTGGTGGCAAATTTGCGGATGCGTGCAATTGGCA